CCCCAACTTCCCGTACAAACCAGCGTATCCAAGACGCAGTTGAAACAGAGTGGTTTTAATTAACATAGCCAAGTTATTTATATTTCTAGCATCACTTACATTTTGAGCCAGATAAAAAATAACATCTAAGCAGCTTAAGACGGATAGTGGTTAGGAGATGAGTTTTAACCAGTATAAATATAGAACATTTCAGTGTACATTTTGGGTATTTTGCACATTCCTGAAGTACAATGTCACAAGTTGTTGATTTCTGGAGGAGGAGAAAACATTTACTGGTAGCTGTATTTTGTCATCTATACCTTACAATGCCCCAATCCTCAGGACCATACAATAGAATTGACAGGATTTTACTGTGAAAGATTATGACGTATATTTGTTATGAGCTTTTTAAACTTTAGCAAACTCTGCTTCACTTGAGCCCAGCCAACCATTAGAGATACTGTGTGTTCCCACCATTAGAGATACTGTGTGTTCCCACCAGTAGAGATACTGTGTGTTCCCACCAGTAGAGATACTGTGTGTTCCCACCAGTAGAGATGTGACTGTGTGTTCCCACCAGTAGAGATACTGTGTGTTCCCACCAGTAGAGATACTGTGTGTTCCCACCAGTAGAGATACTGTGTGTTCCCACCAGTAGAGATACTGTGTGTTCCCACCAGTAGAGAGTGTGTTCCCACCAGTAGAGATACTGTGTGTTCCCACCAGTAGAGATACTGTGTGTTCCCACCAGATTAGAGATAGAGATACTGTGTGTTCCCACCATTAGAGATACTGTGTGTTCCCACCAGTAGAGATACTGTGTGTTCCCACCAGTAGAGATACTGTGTGTTCCCTGTAGAGATACTGTCCCACCATTAGAGATACTGTGTGTTCCCACCATTAGAGATGTGTTCCCCACCATTAGAGATACTGTGTGTTCCTGTGTGTTCCCACCATTAGAGATACTGTGTGTTCCCACCATTAGAGATACTGTGTGTTCCCACCATTAGAGATGTTCCCACCATTAGAGACTGTGTGTTCCCACCATTAGAGAGATACTGTGTGTTCCCACCATTAGAGATACTGTGTGTTCCCACCATTAGAGATACTGTGTGTTCCCACCATTAGAGATACTGTGTGTTCCCACCATTAGAGATACTGTGTGTTCCCACCAGTAGAGATACTGTGTGTTCCCACCAGTAGAGATACTGTGTGTTCCCACCATTAGAGATACTGTGTGTTCCCACCATTAGAGATACTGTGTGTTCCCACCATTAGAGATGTGACTGTGTGTTCCCATCATTAGAGATGACTGTGTGTTCCCATCATTAGAGATACTGTGTGTTCCCATCATTAGAGATACTGTGTGTTCCCATCATTAGAGATACTGTGTGTTCCCACCATTAGAGATACTGTGTGTTCCCACCATTAGAGATACTGTGTGTTCCCACCCACTGTGTGTTCCCCATTAGAGATACTGTGTGTTCCCACCAGTAGAGATACTGTGTGTTCCCACCAGTAGAGATACTGTGTGTTCCCACCATTAGAGATACTGTGTGTTCCCACCAGTAGAGATACTGTGTGTTCCCACCATTAGAGATACTGTGTGTTCAAAAGCATTCCACAGAATACAGCCCACATGATATTTTTATTAATGACCAGGGCCTAGATTTTCGAAGCTCTCTTAGCGCTAAGATAGTCGGAAGTGCCATGCATTAACATTAACTTACGACTATCTTAGCGCTAAGAGAGCTTAGAAAATCTAGGCCCAGGCCTGTTATATGTGTGTGCAGGTGTATGTACTATATGTGACTGTTATATGTGTGTGCGGGTGTATGTACTATATGTGACTGTTATATGTGTGTGTGGGTGTATGTACTATATGTGACTGTTATATGTGTGTGTAGGTGTGTATGTGCAGGTGTATGTACTATATGTGACTGTTATATGTGTGCAGGTGTATGTACTATATGTGACTGTTATATGTGTGTGTAGGTGTATGTACTATATGTGACTGTTATATGTGTGTGTGTATGTATATGTACTGTTATGTATGTACTATATGTGACTGTTATATGTGTGTGCAGGTGTATGTACTATATGTGACTGTTATATGTGTGTGCTTGGTGTATGTACTATATGTGACTGCAGGTGTATGTACTATATGTGACTGTTATATGTGTGTGCAGTGTATGTACTATATGTGACTGTTATATGTGTGTGCAGGTGTATGTACTATATGTGACTGTTATATGTGTGTGCAGGGTGTATGTACTATATGTGACTGTTATATGTGTGTGCAGGTGTATGTACTATATGTGACTGTTATATGTGTGTGCAGGTGTATGTACTATATGTGACTGTTATATGTGTGTGCAGGTGTATGTACTATATGTGACTGTTATTATATGTGTGCTTGGTGTATGTACTATATGTGACTGTTGCAGGTGTATGTACTTATATGTGTTACAGGTGTATGTACTATATGTGACTGTTATATGTGAGGTGTATGTACTATATGACTGACTGTTATATGTGTGTGCAGGTGTATGTACTATATGTGACTGTTATATGTGTGTGCAGGTGTATGTACTATATGTGACTGTTATATGTGACTGTTATATGTGTGTGCAGGTGTATGTACTATATGTGACTGTTATATGTGTGTGCAGGTGTATGTGTGTACCTGTTATATGTGTGTGCAGGTGTATGTACTATATGTGACTGTTATATGTGTGTGCGGGTGTATGTACTATATGTGACTGTTATATGTGTGTGCGGGTGTATGTACTATATGTGACTGTTATATGTGTGTGCAGGTGTATGTACTATATGTGACTGTTATATGTGTGTGCAGGTGTATGTACTATATGTGATATATGACTGTTATATGTGTGTGCAGGGTGTATGTACTATATGTGACTGTTATATGTGTGTGTGTGTACTATATATGTGGTGTGTGTAGGTGTATATGTGACTGTTATATGTGTGCAGGTGTATGTGTGACTGTTATATGTGTGTGCAGGTGTATGTACTATATGTGACTGTTATATGTGTGTGCAGGTGTATGTACTATATGTGACTGTTATATGTGTGTGCAGGTGTATGTACTATATGTGACTGTTATATGTGTGTGCAGGTGTATGTACTATATGTGACTGTTATATGTGTGTGGGGTGTATGTACTATGTGACTGTTATATGTGTGTATAAAAGGTGTATGTACTATATGTGACTGACTGTTATATGTGTTATGCATGGTGTATGTACTATATGTGACTGTTATATGTGTGTGCGCGTGTATGTACTATATGTGACTGTTATATGTGTGTGCGGGTGTATGTACTATATGTGACTGTTATATGTGTGTGCGGATGTATGTACTATATGTGACTGTTATATTTGTGTGCAGGTGTATGTACTATATGTACCTGTTATATGTGTGTGCGGGTGTATGTACTATATGTGACTGTTCCCCGATATACTAATGATTTCTGTCATCCAGGTGAACTTTCGTCTTCATAGAGGAAAGGTTTTCTTTTCATTATATTCTGCTACTGCTGTGATGTATCCGAACTTACAATATACCTAACAACAGATTTCAAGGTACTTGGTCCGTCCACTCTGACCAAGTGTCAGGTCATCAATGCCAGGGTCAGCTGATAGGATGACCTATGAGGCAGGTTACAGGAACTGCCCTCACACATTACTTCCTGGTGTATTGGTAGGGGGGAGGGGAGGCCTGGGGTGTTATCAGGGTACACAGATTACACACGGCAGATAAGCATGTCAGGACATAGGTCACAGCATTCTCTGTATATATCTCAAACGAAACCCTCCACCATGCTTCTGTAATGGTCTCAATAATCTGGGCAGGCTTCTGTTCGGAATGCAGCAACTTGCTGCCCAAACCTGAGAACTGAGATACTTTCAGTGTTTTGCCATCCTGATAATTGGTTCCCATCTGGTCCTTGCTCTACACATCTCACATCCCATTGCAGCTTCTGTCTGGCCTCAACTCAACATAAAAGGTTTAGGTACCAGATTCTTAACACCACTCAACCCAATCTATTGCTGGCTGTAGAGCAGTATTTACACTGTGGGCTCCATAACCTGCACTGAATGTGTACTGTGTGAGCAGTTCAGATGATAAACACTGTTTTTAAATTATAAGGTCTGTGCCAGTCTTGAGGTAAGCAAATGATAGAATTTTTAGAAAGAAAACCTGACTCGTATCCTTAGCTTGATTTACCCATTGTCTTTTGAGAAGACCTCACTTCCATTCAGTGTCCCTCTCCAACACTGTCACACACACACCCCTTCCCTGACCTACTCCTCGCCCCTCTTCTCCAACCCTGCCCATCTTCTCCAGGCCCTTTGCCCCAGGATCCAATATAGAAGCATTTGTCAGTTTACCAAAACAGTGCTACCCAATTAACCTTAATGATTAATCAGTTTTAATGATTCACAATTAACAACCTACTTAATGGACACTTCCTACATAGTGAAAGATAGGACCGATGGGAAGAAGAAGCACATTTCTACATGCTTGTATTCCCGTCCGTTGCGTGTTGTATACAGCTCTAGGTCTCCTCTATGCTATCAAAGACCTGGAACCATTTATGAAATGTTACTTCTCTAATATGTGGTGGGAATGTTTCATAATGTCTTTAATGACTAATTATAAGTATAAATAGAATTTATATTTTTCATGAAATATATATTGCTTGTGGTAATCTTATTCTTGTGTGTGGAGTGTACATGAATGAATTCACGACCTGAAGGCTTATCGTGTTTACATGAGGAAACAGACAAAAAATAGAATAATGCAGAGTGAATGAGGTAAATATAGGTATTGACATCAACTGAAGGAAGTGAAACAAACAAAGTGTGATAACATCTAGTGGAGCATCGCTGTTGACAGCCGGAGTTAGTCAGCACATTCTTTGCAGTCACATGAACTCTTCAACTTATAGACATTTCATATTTTGCACCTGACAAATATCTTCTTGTTGATTTCAGCAAACACATTATCAGCCGTCGTCAGCGCAGCGAGGTATGTTATTTCTTTCTGGCTACTCAAACAAACATAAGTAAACAGTTTTATAGGTTGTTGTCTTCTTGACCACTTTTTGACCATTGAGCTGTAGGAGTGTATGTCTGCATCTACACCCTGGTCTTCTTTAGATGGCTGACTCTTGTTGACTACTGTGTACAATACTACCCACTCAGTGTTCAGTGTAGGAGTGATTGTTGACCACTGTGTGTAGGAGTGATTTTTGTTGACCATTGTGTGTAGGAGTGATTGTTGTTGACCATTGTGTGTAGGAGTGATTGTTGTTGACCACTGTGTGTAGGAGTGATTTTTGTTGACCATTGTGTGTAGGAGTGATTGTTGTTGACCATTGTGTGTAGGAGTGATTGTTGTAGGAGTGATTGTTGTTGACCATTGTGTGTAAGAGTGATTGTTGTTGACCATTGTGTGTAGGAGTGATTGTTGTTGACCATTGTGTGTAGGAGTGATTGTTGTTGACTATTGTGTGTAGGAGTGATTGTTGTTGACCATTGTGTGTAGGAGTGATTGTTGTTGACCATTGTGTGTAGGAGTGATTGTTGACCATTGTGTAGAGTGATTGTTGTTGTGTGTAGGAGTGATTGTTGTTGACCATTGTGTGTAAGAGTGATTGTTGTTGACCATTGTGTGTAGGAGTGATTGTTGTTGACCATTGTGTGTAGGAGTGATTGTTGTTGACCATTGTGTGTAAGAGTGATTGTTGTTGACCATTGTGTGTAGGAGTGATTGTTGTTGACCATTGTGTGTAGGAGTGATTGTTGTTGACCATTGTGTGTAGGAGTGATTGTTGTTGACCATTGTGTGTAGGAGTGATTGTTGTTGACCATTGTGTGTGTAGGAGTGATTGTTGTTGACCATTGTGTGTAGGAGTGATTGTTGTTGACCATTGTGTGTAGAGAGTGATTGTTGTTGACCATTGTGTGTAGGAGTGATTGTTGTTGACCATTGTGTGAAAGAATGATTGTTGTTGACCATTGTGTGTAGGAGTGATTGTTGTTGACCATTGTGTGTAGGAGTGATTGTTCTTGACCATTGTGTGTAGGGTGATTGTTGTTGACTATTGTGTGTAGGAGTGATTGTTGTTGACTATTGTGTGTAGGAGTGATTGTTGTTGATTATTGTGTGTAGAAGTGATTGTTGTTGACCATTGTGTGTAGGAGTGATTGTAAAAGAAATGAAATCTTAATTAGTGACCTGTTTTTAGTGACATTTTACCATCTAATTTATGATACCCTAATGCTATTTTGTGATAGCGATTTCCTAGAAAACATGTCAACAAATGTTTGATTTCACCCTAAATTATGAATGCTATTTATCTATTATTTTAGCACAAGTGCAGTGCCCCCACTTGACCCACGGCTGTCCAGTCTGAAAGCTGCTGGTAACTACGGTTGGACAAGCTTCAACTCCGAGGTCTCAGGCCAGACAAGCGGCTCAAGCGCCAACAGGTAGATCATGAGCAACTCATTTACATCTGTGTTTCTTAATTTGTTTAAAGGCCCACCAAGGAGCATCATTGAAACTATCAGGCAGAGAGTCCAAACAGCACAACCGAGAAAAGGTATCAGGCAGTTAGGTGAAACAAGAGTTTCCAAAATATGTCAAGTATTTGCAGAAGAAATGCTGATTTCGTACATTATATCATAGTGACCATGAGTCGGGACCCATAGTCTCAAGGAAGTCCCATTGACTTCATTAGTAGATCAAGTTCAGGGCATCACTAATTGTTCTAGAGCAGGCATCAACCTTGCTCATGTATGTCCCACACTTTGAGTTATAACTGTAGATTGTAATGATCTTTTTGACTAAAATATACAACAAGTGGTAAGGACTAAGAAAACAGTCTGATACATCTGATTCTCTACAGGTATAGTTGGTTCCTTGAGCCTCAATGGATCATGATACTCTTATTAAACTGAACAAAACACTATTCCTAATATGAGCAGATCACTATTCCTGTACAGAGCCAAACACTTACTTTTCCAGTATGGAACAAAACAATTTTCCTGCATTAAACAAAACACTGTTCATGTATTGAACAAAATACTGCTCCTGTAGAGAGCAGAACACTATTTCTGTTCAAAGCAAAAGGCTGTTCATGTGCTGAACAAAACACTATTCCAGAACAGAGCACAACACTGGTCCAGTATGCACATGATTGAGGCAAACTGATTCACGTAGTCCTCAGTGATAGAAATTACTACTGTTCACACATGAGTGAGTTTGATTGACAGGTAGATAGTCAGACAGGTGATAACTCTGTGTCCTGATGTTGACACAGTACAGCATATGTGCAGACAGGTGCCCCTCACAAACAATACTTTCCCAGGGGTGTGATGTAATACTATCACAGGCTATGAGGAGTTGGCCCCCTGGGCAGATGGGAAACCTGTTTGAGGGGTCAAGCAGGTACCCAACCATTCCCCATGTTGCTTCACTGCTGCTGCACTGCATTACCTGCCGGGACAAACACTGTCTGATACATCAAGGTATGGTCACTCTGGGTCACTTCGGAGTATGATCTCTGTCTGTCACATAGAGGTATGATCACTGCCACATTACCTGTCGGGACAAACACTGTCTGATACATCAAGGTATGGTCACTCTGGGTCACTTCGGAGTATGATCTCTGTCTGTCACATAGAGGTATGATCTCTGCCACATTACCTGTCGGGACAAACACTGTCTGATACATCAAGGTATGGTCACTCTGGGTCACTTCGGAGTATGATCTCTGTCTGTCAAATGGAGGTATGATCTCTGCCACATTACCTGCCGGGACAAACACTGTCTGATACATCAAGGTATGGTCACTCTGGGTCACTTCGGAGTATGATCTCTGTCTGTCAAATGGAGGTATGATCTCTGCCACATTACCTGTCGGGACAAACACTGTCTGATACATCAAGGTATGGTCAGTCTGGGTCACTTCGGAGTATGATCTCTGTCTGTCACATAGAGGTATGATCTCTGTCTGTGACACGAAGATAAGGTGTTTGACTGCCACATAGAGGTATGATCTCTGTCTGTGACACAAAGATAAGGTGTTTGACTGCCACATAGAGGTATGATCTCTGTCTGTGACACGAAGATAAGGTGTTTGACTGCCACATAGAGGTATGATCTCTGTCTGTGACATGAAGTAAGGTGTTTGACTGCCACTTAGAGGTATGATCTCTCTCTGCCACATGGAGATAAGGTGTTTGACTGCCACATAGAGGTATGATCTCTGTCTGTGACATGAAGTAAGGTGTTTGACTGCCACTTAGAGGTATGATCTCTCTCTGCCACATGGAGATAAGGTGTTTGACTGCCACATAGAGGTATGATCTCTGTCTGTGACACAAAGATAAGGTGTTTGACTGCCACATAGAGGTATGATCTCTGTCTGTGACACGAAGATAAGGTGTTTGACTGCCACATAGAGGTATGATCTCTGTCTGTGACATGAAGTAAGGTGTTTGACTGCCACTTAGAGGTATGATCTCTCTCTACCACATGGAGATAAGGTGTTTGACTGCCACATAGAGGTATGATCTCTGTCTGTGACACAAAGATAAGGTGTTTGACTGCCACATAGAGGTATGATCTCTGTCTGTGACACGAAGATAAGGTGTTTGACTGCCACATAGAGGTATGATCTCTCTCTGCCACATGGAGATAAGGTGTTTGACTGCCACATAGAGGTATGATCTCTGTCTGTGACACGAAGATAAGGTGTTTGACTGCCACATAGAGGTATGATCTCTGTCTGTGACACGAAGATAAGGTGTTTGACTGCCACATAGAGGTATGATCTCTGTCTGTGACATGTCTGCCACATTACCTGTCGGGACAAACACTGTCTGATACATCAAGGTATGGTCACTCTGGGTCACTTCAGAGTATGATCTCTGTCTGTCAAATGGAGGTATGATCTCTGCCACATTACCTGTCGGGACAAACACTGTCTGATACATCAAGGTATGGTCACTCTGGGTCACTTCGGAGTATGATCTCTGTCTGTCAAATGGAGGTATGATCTCTGCCACATTACCTGTCGGGACAAACACTGTCTGATACATCAAGGTATGGTCACTCTGGGTCACTTCGGAGTATGATCTCTGTCTGTCAAATGGAGGTATGATCTCTGCCACATTACCTGTCGGGACAAACACTGTCTGATACATCAAGGTATGGTCAGTCTGGGTCACTTCGGAGTATGATCTCTGTCTGTCACATAGAGATATGATCTCTGTCTGTGACACGAAGATAAGGTGTTTGACTGCCACATAGAGGTATGATCTCTGTCTGTGACACAAAGATAAGGTGTTTGACTGCCACATAGAGGTATGATCTCTGTCTGTGACACGAAGATAAGGTGTTTGACTGCCACATAGAGGTATGATCTCTGTCTGTGACATGAAGATAAGGTGTTTGACTGCCACATAGAGGTATGATCTCTGTCTGTGCCACATGGAGATAAGGTGTTTGACTGCCACATAGAGGTATGATCTCTGTCTGTGACATGAAGTAAGGTGTTTGACTGCCACTTAGAGGTATGATCTCTCTGCCACATGGAGATAAGGTGTTTGACTGCCACATAGAGGTATGATCTCTGTCTGTGACACAAAAGATAAGGTGTTTGACTGCCACATAGAGGTATGATCTCTGTCTGTGACACGAAGATAAGGTGTTTGACTGCCACATAGAGGTATGATCTCTGTCTGTGACATGAAGTAAGGTGTTTGACTGCCACTTAGAGGTATGATCTCTCTCTACCACATGGAGATAAGGTGTTTGACTGCCACATAGAGGTATGATCTCTGTCTGTGACACAAAGATAAGGTGTTTGACTGCCACATAGAGGTATGATCTCTGTCTGTGACATGACACAAAGATAAGATAGAGGTGTTTGACTGCCACATAGAGGTATGATCTCTGTCTGTGACATGAAAATAAGGTGTTTGACTGCCACATAGAGGTATGATCTCTGTCTGTGACACGAAGATAAGGTGTTTGACTGCCACATAGAGGTGTGATCTCTGTCTCTGACATGAAAATAAGGTGTTTGACTGCCACATAGAGGTATGATCTCTCTCTGACATGACATGGAGGTGTGATCTCTGTCTGTGACATGGAGGTGTGATCTCTGTCTGTGACATGGAGATATGATCTCTGACTGCCACATGGGGGTATGATCTCTGACTGCCACATGGAGATAAGGTTTGTGTCCGTCTGATCCCTGACTGTCACAGTGTTTGAAGCAAGTCTCTGACAGTCAAATGGAGGTCTAGTCTGTGATGGATATGTAGAGGTATGACACCCTCTGTCTGTCACTTGGAGGTCTAATATCAGTCTGATACACAGAGATTGGATATCTGACAGTCAAATGGAGGTCTTTTCTCAGTCTATTACTTTGAGGTTTGATATCTGCCTGTGTCATGGCAGTACAATCTTGGACTGTCACATATAGGTACACTTCATGAGATTATCTAGTACGTCCCCATTTCACTGCAACCGTAATATTTTCCCTTTCCCTCACTCCTTCTGGAAAGTCTTAGCCCAAAATGAAGCAACTCTACAAACTTTGGCAGTTTCATGGTATGACATTCCCTTCTATGTGGGGGCTCCTTTTCACTTTAAATGTAATTGCTTATTTACTTTGCTACTATCACAGATGTGTATGTATCTATTTATGTGTGTATTTCATTATCAATTTAATGCCAACATGTGACTAGTCAGTCCTGGGCACCTAGGAGCACCATTCCACAAAGCCAGCAGTGCACTATGAGAGTTTAAGTCCATGTTAAAGCATGGGAGGAATGACCACTTGGTGCTTCAGCTGCCTTTTGGAGCAGGGCGTTGGTCGTAAGCTGAAAAGGTTACGTAGAATCATTTTAATCACTGATGTTTTTTTTGTGGTTGCAGTCTCGACATTTTACTGTCTCAACGTAATGTGGATCCAGAGCAGATGTTGCGAAGTCTTGGTTTCGGTTTCGCCAACGAGCAAGAGGCGCCAATGCTGCGCGTGCCAGTGCGCTTCATGCAGAAGTCTCATGCCAGTGGCATCAACATTGCTGAATTCCTTGCTGAGTATCCCGAGCTCCAGCAAGTCATGATGAAGAAGTCAGGTCAGTTCACTTCAGAATATTCTGCTGAAATGGATGATATGATTGACTGTCGTGTTCCAGCCTATTTTCCTCGGAAGCACTTCACCATGCTGATGGAAGACCGTACCATTGTCGGCATTGTTGACTTGAACGGTAATGAAGAAGAAACTGGTATGACCTTGAGTAGAGATGGTGTAACGTTGGAGATCGAAGATGTTGACTTCCTGGAGAACGAGCTCAAGACACCACAAAATGTACCCATGTCACCTTTAGTCAAAGACTGTGCACTTGATGATGAAGACTGCTTCGGTCAATCACGCCCCCAGAACCTGGACCTGTTAGAACCTCCATGCAAATCTGAGAGTGATTCCATCAGCATGTCGTCTGGCTCGACCTCGTCCATGTCCCAGGATGCATACCATTACTTCAATGTCATGCTGTCCCCCAACGAATCTCTTGTTTAAGTCCCATTTAATGCATATTTGATATATATTTTGGTAATTGCAAGGTTAGTGAAAACAAGTGGGGGATCACGCCCCAGGTGGAAACAGGAGCAAATCCCTGGTTGAACAGGAAGCACTTACTTGCCCTGCACATAGACTGTAGGTTCACAAACTGCCCCTAGTGTACCTGGAATTTAAAGGTGATCAGGCCCGGATTGCTGCAGTGCAATTCACAGGACAGTCTCATTCTGTAGTTGCCACCATATAGCTGGAATATTGCTGAGTGTGGTGTAAACAAACAAATGATGAATTCTGTTGTCAAACAGCTGATTGGTGGGATATGGATTATTGCTGGATCTAAACAAGGAGAGTTGTTGATAGGAAGGCCAGGAACAGAATATCTCACCATATGTGCTAATGTCTCACATCTCTTCTAGGCTGACCTTCAACACAAGGTCATCAGCTTTACGTGTAGTCAGATACAAGTTGCCAAATACTCCAACTGTGAGATTAAGCTTGGCCAAACTGTTTTCTCTTATCACAATTTATTATTTATGTAGCTTTGTGATATATTTTTCCTTGTTGACATGATGTACATATGGTAGATTTCAGTAGCTAACTTTGTGATATATTCCTGTTGACTGATTTTATCCTCCATATTTGGATGGGTCTATTAAAAGCTGTTGAGTTTGTTATTAACTGTTGATATAACATGTATATTATTGCTGAATGTGTTTTGGTCACCACCATTAACCTCAAGTTTATTACCTGTTTTTTGCGGAGATCTTTTTTTCTCTAAAAGTTTGGTTGTGTTTTTGTTGTGACATGATTCCACATTGAAACCAAGCTCAAGGGAGACCACTCCCACTTATGTAATACAGCATTGATAGAAGTTGACAAAATTGGGATGTGAAGAAATTCTTTTAATTATTCGAAAAAATGAAATACTTTATTCACATAAACAATCGTTTTATCATTGAGTGTAATTAATCTATGGAAGGGATGGCAAAAGAAATATATATATTCATCAATTTTGAAAAGTAATAGACATGATGCAGTACAACATTTCGGACTTGTTTGCCTTATTTTCATGAGGTTAACATTTTACATTTTAAAAATAGAGACAGCACTTGTTGTGACAGACAGATTGATGCAACTGTTTTATAGAATGAAACGGAAGCAGAACACACTGCTGTAGTTGTGAGTGGGGAAGTATTTTACTGGTGCTTCCTTCACCTGTGCTGTTAGTGAGGGGGAACTTCTCAATGTCTTGTTAGGAGTTATTTAATGCTGATGCTGGGAATCAGTTCACTTTTGTTTTCTTTCTTCACATACTATTGTTTATACTGCTGTTCAAACGTTCAAAGTTTACAGACAGAGAGAATTTTAAGTTTATTATTCCCATGTCCTTTTTAGCCAAATATTGAGAGTATAATATGAGTGATATGATTGATACAAACACTCTATGGACAGTTCTTCCTTATATTGCCATTGCTTACATGTATGGTGGCATTATGTCCAGTCAGGAAGCTAGTTCCCAGTACAGCACCTGATGCAGATGATGTTCCACTCCTGTTGTCAGGCATCACCTTCTTTCTGCCATAATGGATGTTGGTCAGAGACTTACAATAATTGTAGCACTAATATTGCTTTCTGGAATAAGACGCATGGAATACACAGGACAGGCTGTTGTTTATTTTGTTGCCATTAGATAAATGTGCTGAGACTTCCCAGATCTCATCAGTTATATGTGGAAGGACTGTATGCCAAATTTTTATGTTTATTTATTGAAGTGGCCTGAATGGTTGGTGAATTTCCCTGAAGTGTGCAAGCATTGGACAGTCACTGCTTTGATGTACAGCTTGTACTGCTCTTGAAAATAAACACTTACAAAATATATTATGTAGACATATCTTATACTTTCATATCTTGTCAATGTTGATGGCAGTGTTTCATCAGTCTGTATTGAAATTTAACAAACCGAAAGGATTTACAAACCATTGTTCATCATGTCGATGATGATAGGTTTTACAGGAATTGTCTGGAAAGTGGGTATTTTGTATTAACTGTGTCCAGATTATCAGGGTTTCACTGTGGACAGTCCTATGTTCCTGGGATGATCAAGAGATAGGCAGGGGTTGTACTGGGACGTTCAAGAGATAGGCAGGAGTTGTGCTGGGAGATTCAAGAGATAGACAGGGTTTGTGCTGGGACAATCGAGAGATTTGACATTAGCAGGTATCTGTTGGGACATGTTGTTGAGCCTGGTGGGTGTAGAACATTTTCTATGGATAATGGTGGGTGTAGTTTTGGGACCTGTTCTTGAGATAGACCAGTGAAGTCTTGGGACATATTATAGAGATAGACGGGTGTCATGTTGGGAGATACAACAACCTATCCCAGAACACTGACTGCCTGCTCCAGTAGTAGACTCCAGAACACCTGAGCCAGGTAAAATGAGCATGTCCACATGTTTGTCTCCTCTGTCTGTTGTACAAGGGACACATCCTTGTGGTCTGAGCACGTGTTGACTGAGAATGTGGTCTGTTGTTTGTTCACACAGACAAGGAACCAGCCATGTCGTCATAACGGACAAGTCGTCCAACCAGTTACATCCTTCTTTGAGAGGCATTTTAGAAGTTGTGGCGATGAACGAATACCAAGTTCTATGGACAGACAACTTCTTTATTGCAATGAGTGCGACGTTTCAGGGTAGGTGCTAACACCGTTATCAAGCAAGTGATGTGATACTTGCTTGATAACGGTGTTAGCACCTATGCCAAAACATCACACTCATTGCAATAAAGAAGTTGACTATCCATAGAACTTAGTTTTCCTTCAGTTATTTCATGATAAAAATGATCAATTTGTGAACTGAAAATAATTTTGAGTGCTGCTGTGTTATGGTTTTGAAGACGTTTGTGGTTGGTTCCTCCCCGTCAGATAGCACTGCCACCTGTGTGTTTGTCTGTAGTTCCGCACTCATGTTGAATTCCACCGATTAGCATCCTTGAGTTTTTCTGTGTCAAAATATCATCACTCCATTATATTTGATTCTTTGATCCCATATGCTGCCATGTTAGTGGAGCGTGAATATAGCCATTAAATTATAGGAGAATTTTTGTGGGAATTGCTGATAATGAGGCTGGGAATATTACTTTCAAAACAAAGATATTTTGGTGAATGGGTCAAGGGTGTTGTTCAGTAAAGAATCCATAGATAAGAACCAGTGTCCTTGTAAACTGTTCGTCCACCTTCAGTTTTCAGAGTTCAATGTTGTTGTGAATTCCTGTCATTGTGTATATACTAATATCGTGTTAAAACTTAATGTTATTTTTGCTGTTAACATGTAGTGAGTGAGTGAGTGAGTTTGGTTTTACGCCGCACTCAGCAATATTCCAGCTATATGGCGGCGGTCCGTAAATAATCAAATCTGGATCAGACAATCCAGTGATCAACAGTATGAGCTTCAATCTACGCAATTGGGAACTGATGACATGTGTCAACCAAGTCAGCAAGCCTGACCACCCGATCCTGTTAGTCGCCTCTTACGATAAGCATGGGTGACTGAAGATCAATTCTAACACGGATCGGTTGACATGGAACCATGTGATACAGTGTACAAAAATGTAACAAAAATGAAAAGTGAACTTTTAAAAATAATAAGATGTCTCAAGTAATGTGTCATGTTGTGAGCTTCAGAGATGACAGCAAGCTCAGTGATAAACCGATTGGTCAATCTGGTGAGGTAGCTCAGTGCCTGCTGTGTTAACCCTTCACCTCTTAAAGTCCGGTGTCTGTTTCCCACAACATGGCTGCTTGTCATCCCATATGTTTTATTAAACTGTGGTCATTGCAAATAATTGTTTTGTTAGCAGATGTTGTATGGTGAACTGTGCCTGTTTCATTTCGCCTTGTTTGTTCATGAAATGCTTGAACTTCATAAAGTCTCAACTTACCCTTGACCAGAATGACCTTGACTTCTTGCTCCCTTGTTAATGAATCTGTGCACAGTGTAGTTAGTAAACAGATTTTATTCAAGACTCTTTGACACTAAAGTACATTGACTAAATCATTCTGATATGTGGAACAGCAATAAGACTGTTGTCATGACGATGTTGATTCAGACTTTGTTGGTCTTAGTATGGAGATGTTCAGTGTGCATGATCGTATTGTGTCTTTACTTTTGATTTGTTTTTAATTTGGTTGATTTTTTCTGATTTATTCATATTTTTGCATGAATTCTTCCCATATTTTACTTCCGTATTAATAAGTCAAATGAGAGTAAATGTTTTCCATAAGCAACCTCTTCAAATGTTCTTAAGTTTATCTCTGATTCTTAAAGTAATTATGAATATTGTTAATCTTATATGAATTCGTTCTTATTAAAACAAATATTATGTCAACAATACTTTCCTCTGAAACACTACTTTTATCATGATTATATTGCTGCTAAATGTTAAGTTACAATCCCTAATTTCAAGGCTAATCAAACATACTTTCCAGATGCCCTAGAAGGCATTTCTGTTTGTTTACTGTGTGATCTTGTTGCAGGGAAATGGGGATCTGTGTCCAGATCCATCTCAACGATGCTAGCCATGAAGTCAGTCCTCGGTCAAAGCACAACAGCAGCGTCTCCTCCCAGCAGCAACAACAACAACATCGCTGCCCCTCCTGAGTCAGGACCTCCGGATGCTGAGTCTCCACAGCATGTGATGCACCCGAGCATCCTCAGTGTGGAGAATCAACGTGCGCTGGCTAGTCAGGGGTATTATGACTGTAACGTTCCCCACGCTGTGACAAAAGCTGTCAGACAGGAGACGACAGCTGATGCTGTTCAGATGAGGAGGAAACCTATGGATGCTGCAACAAGGCGGGAACGTTTCCAGAAGACGAGATCCACCAAGCGATGGAGCATGGTGGAGTCATCAGAAGATCCTGTAGGCAATGTGGAGAGTGGGGAGGTGTGGATTTCCCGGAGTCTGGATGAGTCCAAGGGAAGACACTCTGGCACTGACTTCAGTAGTTCCATGGACAGCTCCGATTCCCCAGCTAATGATTCCAGGACGTCCTCTATCAGTGAAAAGAGGCGGATATTTGAGCTGGAGATGATGAAGAGGAGTGGAGAGGATCTTGGTAGCATCAGCCTGAACCGGGAACACCAGGTGAACATTCTGATGAATGACGATGATGAGGATGGGAACTATGTTGTGTCAGGCGGTCCATCAAAGCAGAGCACTATCGAGAAAGAAGGGTCAGTGGTTGAAGCTGGCAGTGACAGAAATGACGTAAAGATTGTGGTTTCAGATACGGACCCCAGTGCTCGGGATGTAACTGATTCAGGGAGCATCTTACCCAAGTCAGCAAATGGCACTCATTCCTTATTGACTATTGTGAACGCTCAGCTGGAGCGCTTGTCCGACTCTGGGTCAGATTACACCCTGGTAGAAAGCCCACGACCTTCAACGGATGTGGAAGTATCACACCCTGTTCTCATACAGACATTGTCTAAAGATTCTGTGTTTGAAGAGTCAGATCGGACAGACAGAAGTGTTTCAGTCAGCTGTCAGACATCTTTCGACGGCCACAAGCTAGATGAAAATGACAATATGTCGTCAGCTAAGGTAATGTTGAGAGTTCTACCGGAGTAAAACTGCCATGTGACAATGTCCAATGTAAGTTTAGGTCTTGCCATGTTGGTATTATAGTTTTATGGATCAGATGTTTGTGTTTATTGAAGTCAGGGTTCGGGATTGCCTCATGTAACATGCAACAACCTTCTGTCAGTAGTTGTGGCCGGGGGGATGTGTTGGATGAGGATCCAAGATTCCTTCACCATTAAGATGTTTGATTTATCTACAACATACTCAGGTTGTAGGGGGGCGGTGGGGTAGCCTAGTGGTTGAGGCGTTCGGTCGTCACGCCGAAGACCCGGGTTCGATTCCCCACATGGGCACAATGTGTGAAGTCCATTTCTGGTGTCCCCCTGCTGTGATATTGCTGGAATTTTGCTAATAGCGGCGTAAAACTCCACTCACTCACTCACTCACTCCACATGAGATTGGGTAATTTTGTCATATAGCTGTTTAGTATGAGATATGTTTCACTGTTTCTTCATGTTTCAGATGAAGTCTGTTATTGATGATGTGAAGCGCAGTCAGGATGGTAAGTCAACCATAGAGCTTGTATACTAAGCTCATACTTTACCTCACTTCAGCCACTATTCAAATGCATTTCCTCTTCAGACACATCTCAATTCAACCCCAGCAAAAGGTCATATACCAAATTAACTCTGTACCAACCATATTGCAAATATCTTCTAATATCACACAGTCAAGCTATGCTGCATGTCATCATGGCAGGGACACTTTCAAACAGTATTGTATTTGTCTGTCAACCAGATCTGACAAGGATGGGGAGTGTGCAGTCTGACAGCAGCGGATTTGGTGACGCGGACAACACAGCAGATTTGCCAGCACCAGAGAATGAGAGGGCCTGGGTAAGTGTCCCATCATGTAGCTCACGGAGGCCAGCACCAGAGAATGAGAGGGCCTGGGTAAGTGTCCCATCATGTAGCTCACGGAGGCCAGCACCAGAGAATGAGAGGGCCTGGGTAAGTGTCCCATCATGTAGCTCACGGATGCCAGCACCAGAGAATGAGAGGGCCTGGGTAAGTGTCTCATCATGTAGCTCACATCCATGGGGATACCACTGGTTCCCCACAACCTATGGTGGTTGTAAGAAGCGTCTATATGGATGGTCGTCTCCGACACTTGGTAGCGTACAGGGATCACTGATGACAGTATCAATCATTGGATTGTCTGGTATGGACTCAGTGATTTGATGGCCTCGTTAAAACCTGCAGCTTGAACACTGCTGGATGGGGCAACCTACAAACAAGGACCATCCGACAATGAATGCAGTAGTATAAATTGGTTAATATTCAGGATTGTTTCTGCATGATGCAGGATTGCTCTGTGAGGTACCGGATACGACGGCTGTAGAGATTCAGCTGTCAGTTATACCTCTACCAGTTGTTGTACCAACAGTAAGATCAAGATGTGATTAATAACTTGCAATAGAAACGTTGATATTTATATAATTATAGCAACAGTCTCCAGTTCCAAGACTTTCTTGTCCTGAATTTGGGGGTGCTTCCATCCCTCCAAGGTTCCAGTGTTGATGTCTCACTGTAACATTGTTGGCTTGACAGGTGGCTAGCCTTGGTAGCAGCAGCGAGAGTGCAGGAACGCTGGCAAGCAGCAACACCGCCGTCCTTGTGCACGATGTTGTCACCGATATGGCCACACAGACGTCGCTGTTAGAGCATGCAGGTCATGTGACAGCAATGGAGTTGACAGTTCCAAAGTTGAATTCTTTCAGACGGACTTTTGGGGAGAATGTTGAGCCCAATGGTCATCTATCTAGTCGATATATCAGTACATATTATATACCACCATTGAGCAAAGCATCACCCTCGTCAGTTGACAAAGAAGATTCTGGAACCAAAGTTTATGGACAAAGCTTAGTACTTGGGAAGACAAGAGTTTCTGTGATTGTGCCAAACAAATCTCAAAAGAGCTTTGAAATTCAAAATAATAGTCAAGAGAAGAAGTCCCAGGTGAAGACAGTACACACAAGCAAGGAGGTCCATGTGTCACCGTACTATGAGATCAGAGCCCCACTAGCCAAACCTGAGGAATTCGAGACTGAAGAAGACCTCAGGGAGAGCTACCGCTTTCCTCATGTGTCAGGTCATGGCATTAGGCATGTGTCTAATGTGGGACACCCGTCCTCCGCAGTGTCTGTGCTGAACCTGAGCGTTGCTGACAGTGGTGAGTTCGGGTCCCGGATTTCGCTGGCAGAGGATGACAGTGACTACTCATGTTCCTCTATGGCAGAGAGCACGGCTAGCTGCAGCTCTTCAGAGATCTTCGACTACAAGAAACTGGTTCGCCTCATCAATCAGCCTGACACTTACAGGGTTAGTCTCAATATCCCCACATTTAAACATTGTCAGTCTCAATATCCCCACATTTAAACAGTGAACCTGCCTGTCATTTTCCAACCAGAACCACTCCGTTTTCTTTCACATGCAATTATCTTTAGGGGTTCATGATGCATGACAGCAAGAGGAACATACCGAATCATATGAATGGCACCCAACTCTGTCCTATTCATTTGAGAGCAAGATTTTACATTTCAAATATTCCTTATTACTTATAATTTTATGTTTTTGCCAAACAAAATGATTCCAATCACATCATAGTTAGATCCATTTAATTTTTTTTCATCAGTGTCTTGTGTTCATGCTTGTGTATATTTTATATGGCAGGGTCGTCGTCGTCGTCGAAGTTTCACTCGCTACCGACCAAAGAGACCCATCAAGGACTGGCCGAATCTGGTGAGGAAGAAGGTGTGTAACATTGGTTGTCTCCCTTTGACATCTATCTTTAACACAATATAATTTGAGTTATCTAATGTTGGATGAAAATGCATGAAATACTGGTTCTGTGTTTGTACAGAGGATTCAGATGTTTGAGAGACCTGATTCTCCAGTTGTCCTTACCTGTTTCATGTTTTGTCATCAGAGAGTCCAGGAGGAGACACGCCTGCTTCAACACTCACTACAGACGTACAAGGCCGAGCTGCAGGTGATGGAAACGTCCTGTTTGCTGCAGTACCAGCTGGCTTACGAGGACATGGCGGAAGATGAGAGGTGGGTGTTTTTGTGTAAGAGGGTGGGTAGAAGTGGCCTTTCCATGGCAGGGGGTGGGAAGAGAGGGTTTGTGTCAATGACAGGGGATGGGGTGGGAGGCGCTAGTACCTGTGGCAGAGAATGGGGAGAGGTGGGCGTGTCTGTGTAAGAGGGTGGGGAGAAGTGGCCTTTCCATGGTAGGGGTTGGGAAGAGAGGGTTTGTGTCAATGACAGGGGATGGGGTGGGAAGCGGTAGTACCTGTGACAGAATGGGGAGAGGTGGGTGTTTTTGTGTAAGAGGGTGGGGAGAAGTGGCCTTTCCATGGTAGGGGTTGGGAAGAGAGGGTTTGTGTCGATGGCAGGGGATTGGGAGGGAGTTGCACCAGTGACAGGATTGGGAGGGGAGATGTGTGTCCATGGCAAGGGTGTGTGTGTGAATGGCAGTGTGTGTGGCATAGGGAATGAGTTTGGCTGAGTACCTCCTTCACACATTGTCAGTGTGGTGGTCGCTGTTGCAGGGAGGAGGTGGAGGAGCTGCAGATGCTGTGGAGGGAGCTGAGGGAGCAGATCTACAACATGGAGCAACTGCTCTCCCACAGAATGAAGGCCGTCACCAAGGGCAGCGACTTCTTCACCTTCCTTTCAACACTGAACGTCATCCAGACTGTAAGTCACACAAATGATTGATAACAACTTCTGTAGATCAAAATGGTTAAACTAAAAGCATGTGTAAATAAAGTTTAATAGAAGGTTGTACTTAGTGTTTACTGGCTGACATGGGTGTACTTGGTGTGTTGCAGATGACAGAGTTGCTGAAGGAGCAGATGTATCAGCAGACGGTGAGCCCAAGTCTGGAGCAGGAGGAGGAACAGGAGGAGGAGGAGGAGATGTGTGAGGAGAGAGAAGCCCAGGCATCCTTCACCCACAGCTCCCCCTTCCTGCCACCCTCACCCATGACTAGCTATTCATCTGTGTTCGGTATCCCTGGCAACGGGCCTCCAGAGTACAACCCACAGCACAGCCTGGATGAGGTAGGGGATGTTGCAGTGCACTGACAGTCCATACTGCCCGTGGGAAAAACATTCTGATGGATTAAAAAATATAAAAAACGGATTTATGGTAAATGTTTTCTGATATAATTTCATTGTGTTGTGTTTGGTTGTATGGTGTCTTGAAAGAATGATGTCATGGTTACCTTTACTGTGTATTCCAGATGCGTCGGTCACTGATGGAGGAGATGCGGGAGGAGATGAATCGAAGCACACAGCAGCTCCACCTGGACATGCAGGTCAGTTGCTCAAATACATGTCTCCACCTGGACATGCAGGTCAGTTGCTCAAATACATGTCTCACCAGGGAGAACAGGCTTTGTTAGTGGCTGTTTGGAGATTTTAAACTTTATATACATATGCAGCTTCAGTGAATATTGGACATTTTGGACAGCTGGTTTGATGGAAGTATGGTGTCTGATGCAGAAGACAGTGAGGCTTTCTCGAATTTAGATGTACCTTCAGCATTCAGCTAATGTTTGGGAGATTTAAGGTAATTGGTCTACAGCTTCTATTCTCCTATTTCAGACCAAAGACAATGAAATTCAGCGTCTGAACCTTCAACTTATGATGCAGTCTCACTGGTCTCCGCTAATGTCAAGGTCAACTCGCAGTCTTCCTCATCGTCGAAGCACACGGCAGACAGACGTGTAGCACAGGGACAAGTTCCAGCTATCAGCGCAAGCATACCCTCAAATTGTGAGACCAAGACCATAGACTGCCAGGAAAAGGGAGCATAGGGGAGCTGTGCTTCTAGCTCTGCACATCATAACCATTTGCTGCTCTTCTGTCCATGGAGATGTGTAAATATCCAAATCCTTCTTGAGAATGACAAGTGGTGTACTACACAAGCACGAAATGGACAAACAAACCATATGACAGAGAAGTCATCATGCAACCTGTGCGAGAAAGGGAGAGTGGACAACTCCTACACACACTGAATCCATCCGTACCTTCATCAATCTTCACATTTTCATGAGGCCATTCTCACCACACAGCTGCCACCTTCACACCACACAGCTGCTGCTATCTCACCACACAGATGCCAGCATCTCACCACACAGCTGCTGCTATCTCACCACACAGCTGCTTGATGTCACATCATTTTTAGGATGACCTGTCATGGTGACAGGACTACATCATCACTCTGCTTTCAAGTATACTGACTAGAATCATGTACCCACAAGCTAGTCCTGCTAGACAGCTAGATGCATCAGTAACAAGCACCTGCTTGCTTTCATCATCCGGAGGGTTTGCATCTGTAAACACAGTATGACGTGTGGTTAACGAGTCTGTTTCCGATGCTGTAATAGTGTTGCAAGGAGCGTCAGTGTGTCAACTGTTTCATCAATGCCATGCAACCAAGTATTCATCCGCTGTCGGCCAGGAGTGTATACCACGAACACCACAGCCTTTGGTATTTGTAACCGTTCAGCCCAAGGCAATGTATTTTGAATTGAATCCACACAGATGAGCTCTGTCATGTATTACTATGATGTGGGAAATGTTCTTTCTGCCTATGTCAGCAATTTTACAACTATACATGTAGCTGCCTGTTGCTAGGGGAGATGTTGATCTCCCAGTTTGTAACCAATCAAAGACCATCATCAGTCATTTTGTACACGCAGTTTCAATATTCGTCTCCTCAAACAACAAACCTAGGTGTCGGGCCTACTGATTTAATGATGAATGGAATACAGGTGTTTGGCCAATAATGATTCTGTATCTGTCTCGGTCATTAGTAATGTGTCAATATTAGCAGTATATAACTAGTGTTTGGTTTGTTGACAATACTTTCATAAATGTGACTGGATATCTACCAGATTAGGTTTGTACGCAGTCCATATTACCTAGATGGACACAACAACATTAAATGTGACTGGATATCTACCAGATTAGGTTTGTATGCAGTCCATATTACCTATATGGACACAACAACATTAAATGTGACTGGATATCTACCAGATTAGGTTTATATGCAGTCCATATTACCTAGATGGACACAACAACATTAAATGTGACTGGATATCTACCAGATTAGGTTTGTATGCAGTCCATATTACCTAGATGGACACAACAACATTAAATGTGACTGGATATCTACCAGATTAGGTTTGTACGCAGTCCATATTACCTAGATGGACACAACAACATTAAATGGCACATCAATTCATTAACATGAAGCATACAGATGTCACCTAATGATGGCTGCAATTCAACCAGTTGAGCACAACTACAGAAGGCTGGTTACAAGAGACACTCACACTATATTTTTAGCTATATTTGATGCTTTGATTTTATTCTGCCAAAGGAATAACAAAAATTGTCAAAGATCGGCGTAATTGTTTGCTGCTGAAAATTGTTACATATCAACTGGGCACCAGTAGAATCAGGACATGTTCTGTCAGCAGGATGTGTGTTCTGTCAGCAGGATGTGTGTTTGATCTGTAGGATGTGTGTCCAGCCAAGCCAGCCTCCTACAGCTGAGACCTACAACCATGTTTGTCCAGCAATGTCTCTGCATCTCTCACTGTACAATTTCCCATCTCATTCATCTTCGTCTTCCTTGTTCATTCCTTGACTCACCAAACTGTTCAAAATCTGGTGGGTAAGAATTTTGCTGTTTCAATTGTTACAGTGTTGTTGTATATGCAATTAAAATCAAACATTTTTATGGAGTTATAAAGATATTTTAATAACTCTAACAATATTTATTTTTATCCAAAATCTGTTGATTCTGTTTAAGCTTTTAGTCAGTATGTAGCTGTTCTGTATAGCTGTAGACAGCATTGAGTTGTCTCAGGGCAAAGTGTGTTCCTGTGAATGTGTTAGGCTAAATAAAAAAATCTTGTGGTTCTGATTACACCTCTTTAAAATTTAGGGTAGGTAGGATTTTTGTTCTTTTAACATTATTTTTTTCAGAAGTAAAGTACAAACTAATAACACATTTATCAATGTGTAATTGTTTATTCAATCAAGCTTGCAGCCGTCATGTCGACTTTCTCTATCAGAATGCCTGATGTCCGTCAGTGTCAGGAAAAAACAATGGTGTCTGAATGCTTCTTTTATTCATACTAAAATATAGGGTCGGCACCAGAATTCAAGGGTCGGTCGGGTAATGGAAACCACAACATTTTTATTTTTAGGCCTCAAGGCACAATAGCATGGTGTACAGGGTCCCAGCCCAGTAGATACCTTTCCCAATAAAATGTCATTCCATGGCAATAATCTACCACATTCTTAAACTACTGGGTCAGGATGATGCTCGACATTTAGTGTTGATCATGTTTTCCAAATGAAAAGTGATAAATGTTGGGGGGATATTTTCATGAAATCGTGATCTGTATTCGGTACAAAGAATTATCACCAAAATCCTTTTTGGTTCTATTTTCTATAGATTATTGTTCTTGATTCATCCTGAAAGATGATGATGCTTGTTTCATGCAATTGGTCTGTTCTACTGCCAGCCATTCCTTCTTGCTATGGGAGGGCAGTGTCCAACATTTCCTCTTGTCTTTCAACAGGGATCGCTAGTGTAGAGTCATGTTGCACCCCTAAATGTTCCTTCAAACTTCTACTTATTCCGTGTGATAGACTGATTTTACAAGTTACCAAAACGTGTTGACTTTTTTATATATTCTATATCATATATTTTTTCTTATGGAAAACAGGAAGTGAGAATATTTGTACATCAGCAGAAATAACATTTTTGGGAGAGTACAATGTAAGTGCTGGTGGGTTAACAGAAATGGAGTTTATTGTTGCATTCAAGATTATGAATTCAAAATACTGCAATGGGCAATAGTCCTGCTGGTACTAGTCTGGAGTTAGGATGGTTTTCTGGTGCAAGCTCATCCAGACTCCATGCTGCAGTTTGACAGGGATACCCCAGTCAGACACAGGATACTGACTCCCAGCCGACCAGTTCTTGTTTGATGCCATTAATGCTAAGTGGCAGGCAGGGCAGCAACAACTACCACCTTTCACTGTGTGTTTCCATGATATGACTGGGGATGAAACCACATACCTTACACTCTCCTGGCAGGCGCTGTGTCCACTGGACAACAGAGGCGGTTCCAAGTTAAATGTACACATGTTCAGGACATCCTGGTTATACAGCCTCCACCTCACTATTACTCTGTTCCCTGTTTATTTAGGTTCCATATTCCTTAAAGATGGGAACTGAGGATGAATGTTTAAAACAGATGTCAGGTCACAAAGATTCAGTTGTTTTCAGTAAAGAAATTTATACCATGCAACTTGGAGTAGTCAATATGAAGGATTTATATTTCATATCTACATTTAGTATGTCACGTTTACCAGAAATAGTGTCCAATCTGACATCATCTAGCGTTACCATAGCAACCAATCAGGACTTGCAAAGTAAATATCAAGCCAAATCAAGCCTCATTGAATTATAGAAACCATGATAATTCCCGCATAAGGATGACTGCATGAACCAAAGCTGCACAGTTAGAAGTGCTGAATAAACTACACATTGTTGTGTAATGGTTGCCATCCCTGTGTGTGTATTTCCATTGAACTGCTCCAGAGTCCGGTGTATAAGGGTGCCATGTTGCCTTACTCCTGTATCACTGCTTGTTGATGCAAGTATTACTGGTGATTGTTCAATTATGTCTGAATAAAAGCATCTGTTCATGGACGCTGGTTCGTTGTTGATTTACCACCTGCTGTGACTGGTGTGATTGTAACATACACGCACGCTTTTATTGGGGCCACCCAATATGTCAGATATGAGAGGGTGGCGGGGTAGCCTAGTGGTTAGCCTTGTTTGTCACCCGAAGAACCTGGTCCGATTCCCCACTTGGGTACAATGTGTGAAGATCATTTCTGGTGTCCCTGGCCTTGATATTGTGGAATATTGGTAAAAGCAGTGTAAAACTTAACTCACTCAGATATATGCTTTTTTTTTGCTTTTTTTTTATTCCAGCATAATGGGTACAATCACATGGTATGGACAGTCATCAGCATGTTGTACTGGCTTCATAACAAAGGTCAAGGAGATGGACATTGAAAGTATAATGAAGTTATTCTATGGCTGTACAGATATACAATATTATATAAAACTGCTGTATAAAATCAGATATACTCTATCTCAAGCTGGTACAAACTGGTTCAAGAATGGCACAATGTTTGTCGAAGAACGTAAACTTCAAGGTTGTATGCCAGTATACATAAAATCAGATATAGTTAATCTGATTGTTTGAGATGCAAAGTTCAAGAAAGGCACATATGGCTATAGGCTAATAGCATATCAAAAGGCTAATTGTATACACGATCAGATGTAATTTGTCAGCTTAGAGATGTACAAGCATGTTTGAAAATACAATAATTGAACAGTGGCAGAAAGTGTGCAAGGAAAGTCACTTCATGACTATAAGCAAATAGGCTACCATATCAGGTGTGTTTTATCTGACTATAGATGTGTAAACATATTTGACCTGCAAAGGTTCAAGAAGGCATAGTGTTTGCAAATTGAGGTAAGTATATGGCTATAAACCAATAGTAAACAACATCAGATTTAATTTATCTGATTAAAATTCTACAGGCTTTGGGTCCTAAGACTCAGAAGTGGTACAAAGTTCTCCGAGAGAAGACAGTCAGTAGCTGCCGTCACAGTAATATGCAACAATCATACATAATTTATCTGATTAAAATTGTACAGGTGTGTTTGAACTACAAAGTTTAGTGATTGTACATTGTTTACATTTAGTAGTAACTGTGGCTGAAAGCCAATACTAAATAACATCTATATGTAATTCATCTACTTAAAGTTTAAAACTATTTGTGAGTGGAGACCATTTTTTTTCAAAGGCATGATATTTGTTGTTCTTACAAGCAATGAACCTTTCCATAGCATAAACTTGTCTGATGTTATTTATAACCTTATCCACTGATAGGGTGTTGCCCTTTAGACTGCATAGAAAAATATGCCTTTTGCTCAGTAGGATTAGGTGATTCAGCAATTTATATTGGTCTGGATAGCCAAAAAGAATTGCATTGGTATCCAGAGTTATACCCATATTAATGTGGGTATTCAAAAATAGTTCCAGACTCACCCACAAATGTTTTACATATTCACATTGAAGGAAGACATGAGCTAAGTCCTCCCGGTCAGTTTTACAAAAAGTGCAGATATCATCGTTCACTAGGTTCATAACCTTTAGTTCCCTCTTAGTGTAGACTATGCGGTGAAGAAATTGAAATTGAAATTCTAAAAGTTTTACATCTTTTGTACAACACCTGTACTGGAGATATATATTGTTCCAGTTTGGAGAGGCAAGATTAAAATTTTCCTCCTATTTTTACACACTGTGGGGCAGGTATCACAGGGAGCCCTTTCCAGGCAAGTCGAGTAAACTGTTTCAAATAGTCAGGTTAGAGTTTATAATACATGTTTGCTGGTTGATGCACTGTTTCCACTTAGGAGGGATGCTACATAGCAGTCTGTGATAATCTAAGAAAGTTCCCCGGATGTTATATACGTTTTTCAGTTCATTGAAAGTCATTAGGCCACTTGTGTTACAAACATCCCTAACATTTAAAGATCGAATACTTTTGAGAACTATTTCTTCAAGGGTTGGGATACATGTGTAAAAAAAGAAATCGCTGTGTATACAAACATCGCTGCAATACGTACGTTCTTGAACCGAATGGCATTACAACATTTTGCCAGGTATTAAAACACACTAAACAATGATCATCTACAAGTGGTGGTAACGTATTAATGAAACTTTCAAAGTGTGAAAGTATATTGAATCAGTTTGTGTGCTTGCACTGAAAAATGAATGATGTCAAAGCGTTAGTTCAGCCTGCGTGAACTCGCTTCGTAAACTCGCTCGTTCACACGAGTTTGAACACCGCTTTGACATCGTTCATTTTTCAGTGCAAAATAACAAACTGACATTCAATTCTTAAATAATTTCGTGCTTCAAGTTTACATACAGATTCCCGAACGTTGGTTGGTTGAGAGAGCGGTCATGTGATCTAAATTTCAAGTAAGTTCATTACTCTTGAACCCCTATACTTGTGTAAACACCGTTCATACGTGTGTGAACGTTTTTCGCTTCGGTTTCAAGGACCCCCAATAATTGGTGATACAAATTTCGCGAACGAACCTGTTTCAAGTCACCCCAAAGTTTGGCAAATGTCACTACCAAACGGGATTGCCGAACATTGTTCCTTCACAGGAGTTTAATGTCTCGTAGTTTGCGGTTCATCCGGCGGTTTTCTGCCCTGAGGTCTGTTCATTTTAACAACTGCTCAAAAATTTCACAATAAACAATCACAAATAAATAGAATACAACAAGATCTGTTTCTATTCGCCACGCCGCACAACTTCAAAGTCGGTCAGTGTATTATTACGCGGTCAAACAAGGTATTTACAAGTGAAAAGGTACAACGCCAGTTTGTTAAAATGGTATTGTTATTGCTTCTGATATTTGTTTCTGTTTGATACCGTTATTGATTATAATTTATTAAAGCAGTTTCAAACCTCATAACGAATTTGTTGTTATATTTTAAAGATCGAATACTTTTGAGAACTATTTCTTCAAGGGTTGACACATGTGTAAAAATAAAATCGCTGTGTATACAAACATCGCTGCAATACGTACGTTCTTGAACCAAATGGCATTACAACATTTTACAGGTATTAAACACACCAAACAATGATCATCTACAAGTGGGTGGAAAACGTATTGTGGTAAACTTCGAAGGAAATTAGGTGAATTATAGCATTATTCAGCCAGTTTCAGGGAGCTTATTCTGAATGAACGATGTAAAGCGTTGTTCACCATCTCGCGTGAACTCGCTCGTAAAACTCGCTCGTTCACACACGAGTTTGAACACCGCTTTGACATCGTTCATTTTTCAGTGCAAACACACAAACTGACATTCAATTCTTAACACAATGCAGCTCTTTATGGTACCAATTTTGTATAAAGAAGGATTTATCTTTAAACTGATAATTCAACCAAAGGGGTTGAGATAAGATGTAATTGATATTATCAGGATATTCTTTCTCGATTCTTAGATAGTTTGACCATGCATCCAGAACACTTCTCCAATAAGGCTACAGTTATTTCGGATATTAATATTTGCTCCCAATGAGAAAATAACTCAGATAAGGGAAACTGGCTTGGGTTCTTAAAGTTGGGATTTTGGCAGCATTTTCTTTAATGAGAAAGTTTTTAAGCTATTTGAATAAAAGAATTGATATCAATCATTCTTAGACCGCCTTCATCATATTTCCTGAACATATTAGTCCTTTTATTTTGTCCCTTTTCCCATTCCATACAAAGTTAAAAAATATTTGATTTTAATTCTTTTAACAAAAGCTTCAGGGGAGTAGGTAGGGCTAAAAAATATATGAACTAAGGTAGATAAGGCTAAGGATTTAATAACTAATTTTTGCCAATCAAAGTCAGTGATCTATGCTTCCATGATGCGAGGATTCTTTTTATGGTTTTCAATTCTCTTCTCTTGTAATTCATGACTCAGAGGGTCTTGTAAATTGGCATTAAGGATGATGCCAAGAACTTTCAAAGTTGAAGCAATGAACGTTTCAATAGCATAAGCTTGTCTGATGTTATTTATAACCTTATCCACTGATAGGGTGTTGCCCTTTAGACTGCATAGAAATATATGCCTTTTGCTCAGTAGGATTAGGTGATTCAGCAATTTATATTGGTCTGGATAGCCAAAAAGAATTGCATTGGTATCCAGGTACCCATATTAATGTGGGTATTCAAAAGTAGTTCCAGAGTCGCCCAAATATGTTTTACATATTATACATTGAAGGAAAACATGAGCTAAGTCCTCCCGGTCAGTTTTACAAAAAGTGCAGATATCATCGTTTACTAGGTCCATAACCTTTAGTTCCCTCTTAGTGTAGACTATGCGGTGAAGAAATTGAAAAACGTTTTACATCTTTTGTACAACACCTGTACTGGAGATCTATATTTTTCCAGTTTGGAGAGGCAAGATTAAAATTTTCCTCCCATTTGTTACACACTGTGGGGCACGTATCACAGGGAGCCCTTTCCAGGCTTAATTAAGCAAGTCGAGTAAACTGTTTCCAATAATCAGGTTAGATTATATAATACACGTTTGCTGGTTGATGCACTGTTTCCACTTAGAAGCAATGCTTCATAGCAGTCTGTGATAATCTAAGAAAGTTCCCCGGATGTTATATATATACTTTTTCAGTTCATTGAAAGTCATTAGGCCACTTGTGTTACAAACATCCCTAACACAATGCAGCCCTTTATGGTACCAATTTTGTATAAAGAAGGATTTATCTTTAAACTGATAATTCAACCAAAGGGGTTGAGATAAGATGTAATTGATATTATCAGGATATTCTTTCTCGATTCTTAGATAGTTTGACCATGCATCCAGAACACTTCTCCAATAAGGATTTTTACAGTTATTTCGGATATTAATATTTGCTCCCAATGAGAAAATTTCAGATAAGGGAAACTGGCTTGGGTTCTTAAAGTTGGGATTTTGGCAGCATTTTCTTAAATGAGAAAGTTTTAAGGCTTGAATAAAAGAATTGATATCAATCATTCTTAGACCGCCTTCATCATATTTCCTGAACATATTAGTCCTTTTTATTTTGTCCCTTTTCCCATTC